GAACAAAGAAAATAAAGTCATAATAAAATTACTGGGTTTCTGTGGCCATTCAGTCTCCCTCCCTCCCCAGCTGCTCACCAGGGAAATACTCCCTGAAAATAGGAGACAGAGAGCTAGCACAAAGGGCCAGAGTGAGAGGAGGTGGGAGAAGAGAGAGAGAGAGAGAGAGAGAGAGAGAGAGAGCGCCGTCCCCACTCCACACACACAACCCCCAGGGAAGCTAGTCTGTGTGTTTCTGGGTATGTTTCTCTCTGCTTCTGTGTATGTTCCCGTGCCTCCTCCTGGCTCATCCCCGTGTGTTGTTCCTCTCTCTGTGAATGCACAAGCCGTGAGTGCGTGTGTCTGTGTACCATCATGGTGGGTCTTCGTGCACAGGCTCTCACGTGTCAGTGTGTGGCTCTGCCAACCTCATGTGTGTCGCTGCGTGTCTGCCTGCCTGTGTGTGCACCTTCTTCAGTGGAAATGTGTGTGCACTTGTGGAGTCCCTGCACCTGGGTCCCCGCATCTGCTCAGCTCTGTGCCTTGTCTGGGGCTGTTGTATTCTGAGGATGGGGGTGGAAAGGTTTTTAATTCCCCCTTCTGAACCCATCTGAGCTGGCCAGGAAAGGGGGAGAGGCGGCCACTTTTCCCTCTCTCGGGCTAGTAGTCACCCTGAGGCTCGGTGGCTCCCCCAGGGTCCAACAGCCGGGCTCCTCAGAGAAGGGGTGGGGCAAGGGCTGGCTAGAGAGAAACCAGAGCTGGAGGCCCTCCTCTTCACCCCTCCTTGGGATGGGAGAAACAACAAAGGAGGGCATGAAAGAGAAATACTTTGGGGGTCAGAGAATTTTTCTTTTGCACCATAGCTGCAAAAACATTACTCACCTCCTGGAACAGGGGCTCCCAGATAAAGGGGGACCCTAGTCCCTAGAAAACCAGCTGTCTGTGGGCAGGGTTCGGAGGAGTCTTTGCGGAGGCCTGAAGCACCCTCACCCCTCTGTCTCAGCTCTTCACTCCTCCCTCTACCTCTAGTCCCCCCATCCCACGGGAGTCCTGGCAAGGAAAGGCTTATCCAGGTGAATGGGGGGTGGGAAACACCTGTGGGATGCTTTTCTAAAGGAAGGGGCTTCAGTGGTCCTGAGGACAGAGAGCTGAGAGGATATTTGCCCCCCTCCCCTGCCCCGGCTGCCACAAGAAGGGAAAGAATTGAGTTGAGACTCCAGCAGAACCAGCAAACCTCGATGGGGGAGGAGGGAGAATGGGTGCATCATCACCTCCTTGGAAGCAAGAAATCAGTGTAGCCTTCCCTGGCCTTTCCCCTCTCTACCCACATCCCTCACACTTTCTGCGGAAGTCCTGCATCTCCAAGACCCCGTCTACACAGGCCTCCGCTACCCGGATAACATTCCATTGACTCTGGATCCAATCCCAGAGGCAAGTTCAGGCATCCAAACTCAGATGAGGTTTGGAGCTGAGTAATCAGCTGCTAGGGCTAAGCAGACATTTTGTCCGGGGGACAGCCAGCTCCCCACCCCCACCTTGCACAGCAGATTTGGGGATGGGGGAGGGTGGGTCTGTCACTCCGTGTCTTCCCAGCCCCCTCCCACCACCACCTTCTCCCACTTCCCACCTGCAAGTAATTTGGCCAATGGGAGGGCAGTTAAGATTGCAGTGTGGAATCCCTCTAGATCTGTGTGCATTTGGTGGGGAGGGGCTACCTCCTCCCCCCACCCCAGACCCCGTGCACCCTTTTCCTCTTCACGGCAGCAAATTACTTGTAATTATCTCACATTGAAAACCTTCAGGAGCTGCTCCCAAAATTGCTTTAATTGAATTAATTGAATCTCATTTTGTTGGGGGAGAGAATGGGGGGCCTGTCTTAAAATAGCATATGGGGAGAGGGGAGGGAAGCCCCAAGTCAGCTTTTCCCTGTGGCTGAGACCCTTGTAGGTGAGAGAGTGTGCCCTGGCCTCCTGGTTCCCATTCTCCAGTCTCAGCTGATTTTAGATGCCCTTCTGCATTTAGGACCTCTCCTGTGCCCTGCTTTCGAATGGTGGTGACAAGGAATGCACACAGGTCTCCAGCCTCCAGCCCCATTCCTCCTCCCTACCCTCGAGAGGCAGAGAGGTGAGAGGTGAATGGATGGTGGTGGCAGTATGAACTCCCCCTGGCCGTGACCCCTTCTCCCCGATAATCACCCAGCAGCCATAAATGACATCTGTGAAGCGAGTCCTATGTTCCAGGCGCCGTGTCAAGCACCGTACAATCACTATCTCACTTGGTGATCACAGCTACACTGTGAAGCAGGTCCTATTAGCATTCCCATTTTGGTGGGGGGGAGGGAGGAAAACCAGGCTCACAGGGAGTTTAAGTAACTCACCAAAAGTCACACAGCGGAGCTGGATGCTTTGCAGGCCAAAACTGCCATTCTTAACCATTCGATTTTGTCCCCGCTCCATTACTGACCCGATTTTCCCAGAGGGGAGTCTTCGTGGGGAACCCCAGCGTTCCCCTTCTACAGCTTAGATGGCTTGAGAGAGATGATGGGGCACATCCCCCTGGCTGGGGTTTCAAGTCCATCCTCGCACAGGAGCCCAGGGAGGTTGGACCAACTCCCAAGTGGAAAGGACTCTGGTTTCCCCTGGAAAGGTCAGGTGGATGGGGGCAGGGATGGGGGCTAGCTGGCCTCTGGCTGGGAGAGTAATTATACTCCTTCTGCTACTTAACTTTACAACCTGGGCTGTTGTTTTAACGATGCGACTCGTGTTGGGCTGTCCAATTAATCTCGCCTTTGGAGGCTTTCCGAGATGGGGCGGTAGATCTTATCTTGGGTCTGTGGAAAGAGGAGTGCAACCTGCAGTGGGAGGAACAGCCTCCCTGAGGGCCTGTGGCCTCCAAGAAGCCCCAGGGGAGGGGCCTGGGGCTGGGCCCTGAGAGCCTACGGAGCTGCGGGCTAGGGGCAGGGGAAGGCCCAGAGGAAGGGGGGTGTTTTGCTCTTGGCGCCATCACTCCTCACTGCTCGGATCTTGGCTTTGGCCCACTCCATGCCTCTTGCCATCCCCAGGATAAACCTCCAGGTGTGTTGTGGTGAGTGGGGGTGGCCGCTGACCCAGAAGGGGCCTAGGAGGGGCTGACAGCAGGCCTCCTGGGGTAGGGGTTCCACTGACTCTGTACCCCTTCTACTCTACAGAGACCCCAATGTGGGCCTCTCTCGGGCCAGGGAGGTTGGCTCGAAGTGCCTACTTGGGCTTTTCCAACTAAGGCAGCCCCCCAGTTCGCAGTGCTTGGGAACAGGTTTAGGCAGTGACTGGGAAGATGACTCGGGAAGTTTTTGCCTGGAATTGGAGGCCCCTCCCCCAATCCCTTGGGCCAAAGCTGGGCTGGATTCCCTGAATAGTTCGCAGCCCTGTTCCTGAGCCTCTCTGCCACTGGGTGCTGTGTGTGTGTGGTGGCGTGTGAAGCCACGAATCTACCGCTGGGTCCAAGCAAAGGTGGAGCCCCTGACTTATGCCAGGGGCCTCTAACGAGGCCCTTACCACACAAGGGGCTGGCTATCTGGCTGGCTCCCCCATGTGCCTCAAGACACCTGGTGTCTCCGGGGTCTAACACAGAGCAGAGGCTTCACACACATTTGTTGGATGGAGGAGAAGTCCAGCTCTTTCTGGGATTTTCTTCTCCTCCCCCTTCCCTTGCTGGGCTGGGGCCTCTCCAGCCCAAGGAGCACACTGGGAGGACTGGACTGGCTCAGTGCGCATGTCCTCTTTCCAAGTGAGGAGGGACGGGAAGATGGAGCCCCGGGGGGACTCCTGTCCCTGGCTCCCTCCAGAACGGGGCCAGGACAGAATTTGCAGGTGAAGACCACTCAGATTTTGGTCCTTTGCAGTATTGGCATCTTCCAGTTTCACACTGGAGTGTATGAAAATGGTCATTAGAACATTCCAGAGCTACAACCGCAGAGCTAGGTAGTTGTAGAGGCGAAACTTGTACCCTGTCCTCTAGCTCGGTGCTGGAGGAGTCTAATGGGAGATGAGAGAAAGAGAGAGAGAGAGAGGAGCAACCAACCCCCACCCCTAGAAGTCAGGAAACAAACAGACTCACAGCCAGAGCCCAGCTTTTTGTACAGATTTAATCTCCAAAAGCTCCTGGTGTGGATTATAAATAGGAGCAGTTCCTTTGCACAGAGACAGCTGTGAGGAGCTGAACTGCCAGCCCACCCTCCCTATTTGGGGGTGTCTCTACTTACACTCATCCAGAGAGCCTGTCTGCCCTCCCATTCTCCCCAGAGTGTTACCCTACAGGTTCCCAAGAGGGTGTGCATATGGAGTTATTAGGTATTAAGGGTGGGAAAGGAGGGGCTAGGCTCTTAATAAATACCCGTTGAATTACAAGGATAATTGGATGTGTTATCTACTATAACTGAATAGACATGGGAAGAAGGCTTTTTTAGGAGAAGAGCATGAATTACCCATAGGTCCACAAACTCCACATTTTCGGCATCTCTTCCCCCTCACAAGATGGTGAGGTGTACCAGTCATGGGGATAATGGACCAACCACCAGGAAAAATCGGTGAGGGGGGACCCGATGGTCCTCATCGTGAAGGCTCGGGATGCCCACTTCACTTCTGCTTTTGCTCGTAACAGGGTTGGGTGAGGCCCAGAGAGGAAAAAAATACTCAAGTGTTTCTTAGTTTTGCCCCCAGGCTGTGGTAGACTGCAGTCCAGGGAAGGGGTGGGAAGTCAGCCGATAACTCCCTCCAGAGCCCCTGATCAGCTGGAGGGAACGGGTCCAGACCGGCTCCAGTCCACGGTCGTGGTGGGGCCGATGGTTAAGACCAAAGTCCTGATTAGGCCGTTTGGGTTACAGGGCAAGGGAGAGAGCACTCCACCTCATCCTTGCTCTCTAACTCCTTGTCCACTTGACAAAATCCATCTGGAGCTGGTTTCCTCTGGGACCAGAAGGGGTGCAGGTGGGCTGGGTCCTGGGCTTTGTGGAGGACAGGGGCCTGACCCACCCTTCCCGGGACTCACATCATCTGAGATGGAGCCAGGACATCTGGGGAGTGATGCTGATACCAGGCTCCAAAGCTGTTGCCATAGCCACTGGTGGGCAGGGCCCCTGCCTTGGGCAGATCCCAGAGGGCTGGAAGGGGCGGGGAGCAGGGAGACAAGGGGGGGGCTCTCCCAGGGAAGTCCCCTTCCTGTCCTCCAGAGTTCTGCTTCAGCAGCTTCTTGTATTTGGAGCGTTTGTTCTGAAACCAGATCTTCACCTTTGGAAAGAAGAAGGGAAAGAAGGGGAGATGAGGAGGAGTATGTGTGTGGGAGGCGGTGGGCCAGGGAAAGGGACTCAGCAGCGGTGGGTGCAGTCCTGGGAGCGGAGCAGAGGTTGGGGACATGCTGCAGGCCTCCAGAGTCCCTGCAGTTGCTGGAGGTCCCGCCCCTGAGCTAGTATCCAGTTGGCCAGGTCTGGGCGCCCCCGTCCTCTACCTGCATCTGCCTCCCTCACCCCAACACACCTTTTAACACATTCCCCCAACACCTAACTGAGGGCCGCCTCCTAACACGCCCTGGAGAACTGTGACAACAGGGCTAGGGGACTCCTGGGGCACCCCCCTGGGGAAGGGGGTGAGTTCCCAGAGAACACATCTGGGGAAGGCTAGCTGCAGGAAGGACGGGGCGGGCCTCACCTGGGTCTGGGTGAGGCCGAGCTGCGCGGCCAGCTGGGCCCTCTCGGGCAGCGCCAGGTACTGCGTGTGCTGGAAACGCTGGTTCAGGTGCTGCAGTTGCAGACTCGAGTAGATGGTCCTCGGCTTGCGGAGCTTCTTGGTCGGGGCCTGCGGGCGCTGCTCCGAGGACTCCGGGGACAGCGGCGGCTTCTCCGAGTCTGGGGGGCAAGCACAAGGCGGTGTGTGCGGAGGGTCGGGCGCGCCGCTTCAGGAGCTCATTTGCATCTCGTTTGCATGTAGGCCTCGGACCGGCCAGTAGCAAGGGTGCCCGGCTGGGCCCTCCTCTACCTCCGCCCCACGCCCCCTTCCGACCCCACGCCCCCTGTGCGCCAGGTGGAACGAGAAACGGTTCTTGCCCTCAGGGAGCTCCCACTCTTACGGGTCCTGTGACCCTAGGAAGAGAGCGCCAAGGGCCGAAGCGAGGGTACAGGTGGCGCCAGGGGCGGGAGGTCAGAGTTCAGGCGGGTGCGGTGGCGCCAGCTTGGGATGGGGCGGGGCCGAAAGGCTCGGTCGGGGCCTGGGCTGAGGCCTAGAGCTGACGGGGGCAGGGCATTCAGGCGGAGGGAACTCCAGAGCAATGCTCAGAGGCCCCAGACAGTGTTTGCGTGGCTGCCTCCCCGCTGCCAGAGGAGGGTGGGTCAGAGGGGCCCAGCCAAGCGGGCCTTGAAGGCCAGCATGCGCACCCGCCCCTCTCCCTAGCATCAGAGTATGGAAAGGGCCCCCAGGGTTTGCCATCCCCTATTGCAAGGCACAGCCCCTCTCCCGGAGTGCACCCTGCAGGAAAGGTGACCAGCTCTCCCCTTCCCATGGCCGGCCGGGCTGGGGCAGACGGTTTTCCGGGACCTAGAAGCCCAGTGGGATTGAGGCGGCCCTCTCCTGCGACACTCACAGAAGGGTTCACTGCCCGCGGGGAAGGTGGCCCCGGTTCGGAAAGCACGCAGCTCCCGGCAGCGCAGGCCCTCGCAGGCCCTCGGGGCCGCTCCAGGATCACGCTGCCATGCTGCCCCACGAGTTCTGGTCACCTCCTACCCCCCAGGCCCAGCCACTCTAGGAATCTCGGCGGGGTAACAGTGGCCCTCGAAAGCCGGGGGTGCAGGACGAGGGATCCTCTTCTTTCCGTCTGAGCAGCCCCAACCTGCGCCAATCTGTGCGGACACCCCGGGACTATTCCATTCGGGTGATAGGGCTGGGAGGACCAAGGGACCGAAATGCCCCCGGGCTTAGGGCCACGTTTGCAGCTTTCCACGCGGGTCTGCCGGGCCGTCCCAGCCGAAAGAGCTCGTGGCCCCGGCGCCCAGACGCAGCTGGTGTCCGCCCGCGGCGCGGACCCTCACCGCGCCCCTCCCTCCGGCCGTGCTCCCCCAGATGTGTGGTTCCCCGCGCTGGGCCGGCCGCGGTGACCGGTTACCTTCACCTCCCCCGCATCCCTACCCCGTGGCCCCGGGCGCTGCGGGCTTCTCAGATCCACCCTCACGGACCCCCGCCTCGGCCAATTCCCAGAAAAACCGTTGGGTTTCCGCTCCCGCCCGCGCCTGTCCGGCCTCCCCTGCTTCGACCCTACCGCTCGCAGCCCCAGGCTGGCCGCCGAGGGACCGACCCCCCGCGCCTCTCTGGCTTCGGGGAGCGCGCGGCTCAGGCGGGGACGCAGCGCCTGGGAGGCAGCGCGGGCTACTGAACTCCCCCAGCCCTCGGCGCCCTAGCTCTCCCAGGGGCTCCCCTTGAAGTTCCTTCCCCGACAGCTGCCTTTCCCCACACCCGCTGCAGCAAGTCGCGACTGGATCTGCCCTGGTCGCGATCATGGAGCCCAAAGGCCTCCCTCGAGGCGCCGGCGCTGCACCCGACCGCTCGGCGCGGTGGTGGTACAGCAGGCTTGGAGCCAAACCTCTCCCTGAAGCAGGGGTGGACATGGAATGGGGGCAAAAGGAGGATTCAAGCCCTCTCTCGCACCCCAATCATTCAATCTAGAATGGGCAAAGCCACCAGTTTCGGGAGAAAAATGCTACAGTCTAGACTAAGCACGTGTATGGTTTTCGTTGGATCCGGGGAAATTCTGTAAAGAAAGGGAGCTCTCCACTCTCTCGTCGTTAGACCAAGCAGAGGGAAGGCTAAGAGTGTGGAGGACAGGAAGGCAAATACTAACCCTATAAACAATTCTCTGAAGACAATGCTATCTTATTCCCACCCCCACTACACACACATACACACAAATGTGCCGCGTACTAAAGGGAAGAGTCCAAGGGATTCGTTTGTAGAAACTAGATCATTTGTATAAAAAAAAAAAAAACCCAAAACCAAACAAACACACAAACCTCCTCTCCCAACTGCTCCTCCTCTAACAAGGACAGACCCAGCAGCCTGGGAGAGGCAGCCCAGTTCTGGCACAGAAGGCGGTTAACTTTGGGGGCTCTGAGGAAATTCCCTAAAATCCTCTTTTCTGGCCTCATGCAGTGAAAGTCAAGTTGCAAGGGCCAAGTGCCTGGAAAACAGGCACATACACCCTTTCTTTAGGTCTCAGTTTGCCCATCTGTACACCAAGGAGGTTGAGCTCCCAAGTCTTTAGGGTCACTTCTGGCTTGGGTGATTTCTGAGCTCCTGTGTTGGAGTAAGGGAGAGAGATGTCTTGGTCCAGGCCGACTCCAGCAAAGCCACCCAGTGGATGGGCATCCTTGGAAGAGACTGCGCTAAAGACAATTGTGGGGGCAATTAGGTGGGAGCAGGGAGGGCAGGGGATCTGAGCTCTAATCTGGAGCTAGTACAGCGGGTAGGTACAGAACAAGCGTTCTGCCCATACCAGGCACAGGACCAGGAAGAGAGGCGGGCTCCTTGGCCTCTTTGAGGCCTTCCAGTAAGCACTTTCTCAGGGGCTCCAAGTTGCTCCAGACAACGGGAACTGGGGCCTAACCCATCCCCCACAAAGGCAAGGGGTGGAGATGCTCCAGACAGCCTGCTTCCTTCAGCAGGAAGGCCCAGGGAACCAGGATCTACAACTAGAGACTGCCGGACCCACCTGTGGCTACTTTCTTAGAACAAGGAGTGGTGGGGTCCTGGCCCCAGATTCTGCCAGGCCAGCTTCCAGTCTCCGTCAGGCACATTCAGGCACCCGCCAAGGGAGAGGGGAAGGGGCCCCGAATCAGCCCCCACTTCCACGGCCCTCCAGCTGGGACCTGACTTCCATTTGTCTGGCTTTGGCTTGAGCCCCACTTTCTGAGACAAGACAAACGGGGAGAGGCGACTTGGGGAAGGGAAGGAGTGCACGACGGAAAGAATCCTGGGGCAGGGGCTAGGCACCCACACCCACATCTGGATTGTTTCAGTTTTCCGTTACACGTAGGTACACACAACCCCGCTGCTCCAGGGGGTGGGGTAGGGAGCCCTGCCGCCCGGCTTCACACAACTGCAAATCGAAACCAGGTCGTTCTTGAAAGGAGACCTAGATCAACTCGCCCCCGCCCCTCCCCCCTGTCTCCCGCCCCATCCCTTCGCCCTCCCCCCACCCCCAGATCCCGCGGAATCTGAGTAAGGTCTGAATCCCGCTAGCTGCGCCCAACCAGGCGAGGGCGAAGTTTAGGGACGCACAGTATCAGGACCCCAGAGGTGGGAAGAGCCGCGGTGGCCGGACTTACCTGCCTTCGGCTCCTGCTGAGAGGGCGCCGCCGGTTGCTGGCAGGGCAGGTAGGAGTCTCCCGGGGTCGCCGGCGCAGGGTAAGAGTAGGACAGGAGGTGGCCATAGGGCCCAGAGTAGGGCAAATCGGGGGCGACTGCGGTTGCGGGCGAGAGGCCAAGCGGGTAGGTAGCCACTACCGATGGGACAGGGGCGATGTCCGGGAAGATGGCTTTGGAGGCGTCCCGGCCAGGGAGGGGGCAGGGCAAAGAGGTCATTGCGGCCGGGGCCGGGGCCGAAGGGCCTAGGCCATGGCCCGGCACGTAGTCTGCTCTCTCCGCCAACTCTCTTTTTTCCGAGCCTCGGGCGTTGGGACCGGATGAGCCCCCCAGCCAGCCTCCTGCACACTTAAGATTCCCCGAAAAGTGTCTCTCTGCGCCTCTTCCAGCGGAGAGCGCGCGCCTGGGAAAGGGGTTCCGAAGGGGTGCCCCCCATGGCTTTTCCCCTCCCCCCTAAATCCATGGGGCCCCCCTCCGTCTGGCTCTTGGGTTCGGTTCCCGGGACCCGACGGGGGCACCGCCCACTTAGACGCCACGGATTGGCTGCCGCACGCGGTGACCTCACGGAGGCTGGAGCCGGTGCCCGCCCCCCGGGGCAGCCCGCGGTGGGGAACTTCAGAACGGCGAGATCGGAGGGGCGGTGCGCACGCTCCAGGCCCAGCCACCTCGGGGGCTTCTCCGAGAGGGCTGCTGGGGTGTCATGGCGATTGGGCAGGCTGGGAACCGCGGTCTCAGTGGCAGAAATGCGAGGGAGCTGGCGGGGCCGGGACAGCCCCAGGGCGAAGGGAGCAGGGCGGAGGCGGAGGCGCGGCGGCCGCGGGGGCTCGGGGCACCTCCTGCCGCGCTCTCCAGCTCTCGGGGACCCGCACCGCCGTTCTGATCCCGCCGCCACTGACCCGCAGGGGATTCGAGACCAGACCGCCAGCGCTGGCAGCTTATTCAGCTCGTCGGAATGCGCCGCTGCCGAGCGCCGGCAGTTTGTTGGTAAACAGACGCCGGGTCGGGGGAGGTGCCGCCCCGCGGCCAGCCTGTCCCGCACGCGCGCGGCACCCACGCCCCCGCGGGGGGCCCTGGGCCTGACACGCCGCGACCGCCGCGACCGCGCCTCACCGCACCCCCACCCCCGGCCCGGCTTCCGCTTCCGGCAGGGGCCCCGGTGCGCGGGCGACACCGAGGCTCCCGCAGGTCCCCGAGGCCCCTGGAGAGATCCGCCGTCCTGGCTTTGCCCGTGCGGCAGCCCGCCTTCCCCGGCGCCCTGTGAGGCTGAAGTCTTGCACGAACCGGGACAAAATCCGCCGAGTAGGAGGCGAGTCCTGTTCGCTGACTATCGCGAGGGCTCAGGAAACACGGCGGGCCTGTCTTGGTGGCCGCGTTTTCCAGTCTGTGCAGGACCTGCCTCTGAACTTTAGTACCCGAGACCTTGACAGGCAGGTGTCCACGTATACGAGTTATCTGTGGCCACAGGTAGACAACTACACGCAGGCTCCACTCAGATACAACGTAGATGCAAACACAGGTGTTTGTCTATACTGATGTTCACATTAGCTTCCCTCCATGAACTGAGAGATCCATTAATGGATCTGCAAATACGGAGTGTAGGCTCTGATGTAAAACACATCGATATGCCCAACGATAAATAGCACTATCCCTGAAAAAAGCACAATACTTGTCTCTTACGCAGACCCGCGACTATAACAAGTCTAATTGCCATTGTACACACTCAAAACTGCAGGAAATCCAAGCATATAAGCATTTAGGCAAGTGTATCCTACCTCTGAGCGACAACTGTCCACACACATCTAAGTCGTTTCATGTTAGTGGGAGAGACAGTTACATCCCCAAACCTACCAGTCCCCACAGATTCCCCAGCATATCCACTTATACACCTTTTCTCCCTCGAGTATGCAACTCGGACTGGCATATTCATGTTTGCATACACATATTTGCTCCCACTATCAGGGCTCAGAGTGGAGGCAGCAGTCTTAGCACTGGAGGGTAGGAGAAGACCAGGATCAGAAAAAGAGGGAGGCTTAGAAGAGAAAGAGAAGGCACTGGAGGGTGGCCAGGCTCAGAGAGACAGAAAGATCAAGGGGGGAGGGTGCAGGGGCGGTTAAGCCCCCCAGTCAGTGTCCTGAGGAGAAGATGAGCAAGTTGGCTTCAAACTGGACTCTCCTCTGGAATGGATAGAGATGAGTTTTTCCAAGAAAGCCCTTGGCTCTGAGCTCTCGACCCCGAAGCCTTGGCACTTCAGGAGAAAGGGAGCCTCCTCCTCTGGGTGGCTGGAGAACCTAGTCCCTCTCATCCAACAGGGTATGCAGGGTTTGCTCAGTTGGGAAATGCTACTTTCACATGGGTCCACTTTCCCCCTTTCTTACCCAACTCCAAACCTGCCGCTTACCATGCAAGGATATGTCCTTCCAAATCTTTCTATCTACCACCATCACTTTCTTCTGGAAGGAGGCAGCCACACAACAGTGGTGTGGTGGGTTCCAAGGATGGCATCTCAGGGCGCAACAAAGGAAGAGAATGCTCTCTGGGGTGGAGTTGGCTGTCAGGGAAGGTTACACAAAGGAGGTACTTTTTTTTAAAGATTTTATTTATTTGAGAGAGAGAAAGAGCATGAACAGGAGGAGGGGCGGGGGAGAGGGAGAAGCAGACTCCCTGCTGAGCGGGGTGCCTGACACTATCCCAGGACCCGGGATCGCGACCCCAGCCGAAGGCAGCCGCTTAACCAACTGCACCCCACAAAGGAGGTACTTTTGAGGTGGAACCGAAAGAATGAGTAGAAGGACACTTTGTCCCTTGGTCATGTAGCCAGAGTCCCTCCTGTGCTGGACAAAAAAAAAAAAAAAAAAAGGCAAGGGTGGGTTTTCTGGCAGGCCTCTGTAGCAGTTGACTTTGGGCATCCTCCAAAGCCAGGAGACCCATAATGAGAGCCTCTCCTAAACTCCCAGGGGGCTTCACTGAACTCACGCAGGATCCTCATTCCTATGCAGTGGTAGGAAACACGCTATGGCCCTTTGGAATTTATAAAACACAACATTCAAGTCCTGTATATCTTCACAAAAAGCCCATGGAGTAGGTACAATTATGACCCTCAGTTTACAAATGAGGAAACATGTCCTTCCATCATCACCTCCCTCTTCAGGGCTCCTTTCTTCCACATGCCGGAGGCTGTAGGGCTGGGGCTCTTGGTTGAGAAACCCTTTTGTCTCCTCAGAGCAGATTCTTCAAGGACAGGTTCCCTCCAAGCTGTTATCACAGCCCACCAGCCACCCGCGGTGGGCCTGGGGGGGAGACAGGAAAGGTGGAAGGGGCCGGGATGGGGGCTCGGAAGGGCTGTATGTGAGGAGGGTGTGTTTGAGAAGAGGGGAGGGGGGACGGCTGGCCCAAGAAGCCTGAGGCCTGGGTTTCCATCCCAGCTCACAAACTGGCTGGCTGTGATAGCCTGGGTTGGCCATTGCCCATCTCTGAGACGCATTTTATCCAGAAAGAATAATGTGAGGGAGCTGCATTCAGCACATCCAAGCCTTTGTCATTTGCTTTAGAATGAATTGCAAAAACAGAAAGCCCAAAACGTAATAAAACTAAGAAGAAGGGGGAGGAGGAAGGCAGGCAGGCAAAACAAACGGACTCTCTCTGGCCACTACCAATACCTCAGCCTCTGGCTTGTCACAAAAGCCAGAAGTGGCCCTCCCAGCTCCTTCTCACGCAGGTCCTCTCACTTAGCAAAAGGGGCCCGCCTGGAGAGCGCCAGCACTGGAGTGAGGCCGAGGGAAACCACAGCAGGGTCCAGAGTGAGGGACACCGCACCACCGGGGTCTCCAGAGCCAGCCACGGGTCGGCGATGACCTGATACATCTGCACCGTTCACGGTGGTTGGCAGGCTCTTTGTGGGTCGCCGGGAAAAAGCAATCCCACCCGATCCAGTAACGTTCCTTTGCGCAGAATAAATACCCTCCGCGGTGGGTTGTATGCCTTACTTGAGGGACTCTCCCCTGAAGCAGGAAACTCCATCCGAACCAGTGCCTCTCCCAGGCGATTCATATTCAACACCCCAAACACATGGTGGGTGCACAGGGCTCTCTGCACAGTCCCTGGGCTCCGTACCCCTCGGGCTTCTGCGACGCTAGCCCGGCGCTGGGGTCTAACCCGGTGCAGACTCCATGCAGCACCTGTATGGACCTGCTCAGGGGAATCGAGATTCCACTGGACCCCAGTCCTCGGCCCTGGGCGGCCAGTGCGGGATTATCCGCGTCTTTCACGCTCCATCCCACCCACCGTCTCAAAAACGAAATCTTCGTTGGGTCTCATCTGCCCTCAGCGGAATTTAAGTGCGATTTGGCGGGGCTTTCATAATAACCTGGTTTGTGGAAACCTTGTGAATAATTTGGTTTGGCGGGGTGTGTGTGTGTGGGGGGGGGTGAGGATTCTTCCTTCTGCTCCACTGTGTGCCCTGGGGGGTAAAGCCCTCACCTTTGGCAAGGCCCCGGGAAGGCACCGTTGATAGAGGCCTGTGTGCCTCGCCACACACTCTCCAATTTTACTTGTCTTAAATTTTTTTTAAAGGTGATTGTTTTAAAATTATTTTTAATTTTTAATTTTTATTGATTTTATTTTTAAATAAGCTCTACACCCAAGGAGGAGTTTGAACTCACAACCCCTGAGATCGACTGTCGTGGGTTCCATCGACTGAGCCAGCCAGGCGCCCCTGGTCTTGAAATTTTGAATGATTGTCTCTTTTCTTCTTTCTGGTTAATCAGTTAATAAGCGCTGGCGCAAGCGGGACTGCGGGCTACTGACTGAGGTCACCGCCACCTGGCCATGCACTTGGATTTGCGCTCGCTCACCCGCAGGCTCCCCCGAGAACTTTCTATGATTGACTTCCCCCCACTATTATTTTCCAGATAACTTTGGAGAAACTCCAAGCGAAGGGGAGGAGAGAGATCTCAGGGTCTGCTCCCCTTCGAGGTCTGGACAGTGCTCGGCAGGCGAGACCCATGAGCCATTCCGCTCGGTCTCTAGCCATACTTTCCCCGAAACGTCTTTGCTTTTCTTTCCAATGCCAGCCTCCGCCCCAGGAAAAGTCTTGTATTCGGGATTGACCGGGACGTTTAAATGACCAGCACGTATATATGAAGTCACCAAACATGTTAAAAACAAAACGATGACCACTCTTGGACATACCACAACCTCCCCCGCCCCCCAAAAGCAAACGGTTCACAAACAATGGGGTGGTCTGGAAGGTGCGTTGGAGGCGCCTCCCTGCGCGGCGAGGGGCCCCCCCCCCGGAGGCTGGATCTGGGCGCGCCGGAGGGAGCCCGACGCGGTGCGGTGGGGGACGCGGGGGCGGCGGCCGCAGCGCGGAGTTCTGGCCGGCTGTCCCGGCGCCAGACCCCGCGGGCCTGGGCGAGGAGCCCGCGCCCTGAGCCGGGC